TATCAGGTATCCACAAGATCATGGCTGTCTGAAAGGGAGGGTACAGGAACAGAGAGTTGGGATCATCACCCATGTAGCCATTGGCGCCTATGGCCTAAAGCCCATGGAAGGCCTACAGTCCATGGATGGCTTAAAGTCCGTGGAAAGGCATAAAGCCCGTGGAGAGGCATAAAGCCTTGGGAGTTGTGGTGCCTGGTACCAGGACTTCAAGACAACACAGAGCAAAACCACAATCCGTGGTAAAAGTCACAGGGGAGAATTCCCCATTCCCCATCTTTCTTGAGGATTCTGAATGGCAAGTGTGCGGATGGAAATCACAGAACATTTGGTAATGAAGGTAGCCCAAGGAGTGAGTTTTGTGGTTGGCAACAGGCCAGGATCCCAAAGCCTCCCAAATCACCAAGGGGAGAACGAGGTCCACAGAGAACTTGGATCCAAGTCACAGAAGCAATGGAGGGCCACCACAAAACACCAAACATTAAAGTTAAAGGAAAGGTATGTTGCTGGGTGGGAAACAGGCTGGAGGAAGAGGCAGAAAAGGGGAGAACGATCAGGAGCACGTGTATGGGCAGCAGGTTTGTTATAGCCTTAGAGAAGGTAGGCAAATGGAAGCAATGAATCTCATTAGGGTGGAGGTGGAGCTGATGCTTGTGGTTGGGCCATTTGGTCACCTGACATTTAGCAAGCCAGGCTGGGCTTAGGACCAAAGTTTACTATACAAGATGGCAATGGGGTCATAGCCTAAGATGGTGCCTGGGGCTTAGATGGTGCCACGCATAAGACTGCACCATTTTACTAACACCACTTGATGCTCTAATCTGTCATTTAACAATTTTTAAACCTAAGTAGTGTATTAAATTTTTTTTTTAATTTTTTTGACAGGCAGAGTGGACAGTGAGAGAGAGAGAGAGAAAGGTCTTCCTTTGCCGTTGGTTCACCCTCCAGTGGCCACCACGGCCGGCGCACCGCGCTGATCTGAAGCCAGGAGCCAGGTGCTTCTCCTGGTCTCCCATGGGGTGCAGGGCCCAAGGACTTGGGCCATCCTCCACTGCACTCCCTGGCCACAGCAGAGAGCTGGCCTGGAAGAGGGGCAACTGGGACAGAATCTGGCACCCCGACCGGGACTAGAACCCGGTGTGCCAGTGCCACAAGGCGGAGGATTAGCCTAGTGAGCCGCGGCGCTGGCCTTAAATTTCTTATATGCTATATGCTTTTTGAGTTTTTACACAAAGAACTGGTATTATGGGGTAGAAGATAGAATTGCTGCCTGCAAAGCCAGCATCCTATAATGGGCACTGATATTCTATCAGCTGCACCATTTCCAATCCAGTCCCCTGCTAATTAACCTGGAACAACAGCAGAAGATGGTCCAAGTAGTTGAGCACATTTAGTCAAGTGAGAGACCCTATAAGCTTCCTGGCTTCAACCTGGCCCAGCCCCAGCCATTGTGGACAGTTGGGAAGTTAACTAACAGATGGAAGATCCCCTCTCTCATTTTCTCCTCCTCTAATTCTGGCTTTTAAATCAATAAACCTTAAAGGAAGTTTTTACATGAATTTCAAATGTTGAAGCCTCTTTATTTCCTATTCATGATCTTCAGCTGAATTTGCTAAAAACCCTAACTGTGCCACATTATTACCAATTTTAAGAACATAAATTTTTATTTAAAATCATTTTCAACTATTTCAAGAATTAATTTGAACTCCTAAATAGCCTTGTACTCCAATATTTCTAAACCTGGCAATACTTATTTTATTAAGAAATGTATTAAACTGAGTTAGTTCAGATTTGATTTAAATGGAAATTAAGGGTTCCAGTAACTCTCATTTCAGTCATTTAGTTCTCTAATTTGGATACAAAAAATATTTTTTTCCAGTTTGTTCAATTTCAGTATGAGTCTTTCCTTTCCTAGCATAGCAGTTAATTGCCTATAACCATCACCCAATTGTCTGGGAAACATTACTGTATCTTTCAATTCCATTTTCCTGCCATGTATCAGGACACACACACACACAAAAACTTAGTATTAGGACAGTGATTATTTTTAAGATTTATTTACTTTACTTGAAAGTTAGAGTTACACAGGGAGAGGAGAAGCAGAGAGAGGTCCCCCATCTTCTGGTTCACTCCCCAATTGGCTGCAATGGCCAGAGCTGCACTGATCTGAAGCTCCACCAGGTGCTTCTCCCAGGTCTCCCACATGGGTGCAGGGGCCCAAGGACTTGGGCCATCTTCCACAGCTTTCCCAGGCCACAGCAGAGAGCTGGCTGGGAAGTGGAGCAGCCGGTCTCAATCCAGCTCCTGTATGAGATGCTGGCACTGCAGGCAGCAGCTTTACTTGCTACACCACAGTGCTGGTCCATGGACAATGAGTTTTAAAGCCATTCTGGAGACTTCTCAAACCTTTTTACATGTTTCACTTTTTAAAAAGAGCAACTTAATGATTTGCTTATCCTGCTTAATTAAGGCCATCTTGCCATGAAGAAATTTAATGACACAAATGAAATTTCAAATACAAGGGTACTTTTAAAAAACTCATTAGTTTAGAGTTGGCATTGTAGTACAGGAGGTAGAGCCGCCTCCTGCGATGGCAGGCACCTAATATGGGTGCTGGTTTGAGTCCTGGCTGCTCCACTTCCAGTCCAGCTCCCTGCTCACACATCTGGGAAATCGGCAGAAGATGGTCCAAGTGCTTAGGCCTCTTGCCACCCATGTGGGATACCAAGGTGAAGCTCCGGTTCAGTCCAGCCCGGGTTATTATGGCCACTTGGAGAGTAAATCAGTGGATGTAAAACAGTCTCACCCTCTTTCTTTCTTTCTTTCTTCTTTTTTCTTTCTTTCTTTTTCTCTTTCTCTTCTTTCTTTCTTCTTCTTTCTTTCTGACAGGCAGAGTGTGGACAGTGAGAGAGAAAGAGAGAGAGAGAGACAGACAGAGAGACAGACAGAGAGAGACAGAGAGAAAGGTCTTCCTTTTTGGTTGGTTCGCCCCCCAGTAGCCACTGCGGCCAGAGCGCTGCGGCCGGCACACCGCGCTGATCCGAAGCCAGGAGCCACTCGCCTCTCCTGGTCTCCCAAGGACTTGGGCCATCCTCCATTGCACTCCCAGGCCACAGCAGAGAGCTGGACTGGAAGAAAGGAGCAACCGGGACAGAATCCAGCACCCCAACCGGGTCTAGAACCTGGGGTGCTGGCGCCGCACGTGGAGGATTAGCCTATTGAGCCACGGTGCCGGCTCACCCTCTTTCAAGTAATTATTTCTTTATAATATAAAGATAGTTTAAGGGCTGGTGTAGTGACATACATGCAACAAAGAACAATGCAACGGGACACAGGGTTTTGTGCAAACTTTTATTCTAAGAACTTTTAACAGTACAAACACTCTCAAGAAGAAACGTTTATTTCTCAACAGCGACACTGACATTACTTTAAACAAATCTATCTATATATTGTAAAAGGGAAAAGTCACAGAAGAGAAGTTAATATATGCCCCCTCCTCCAAAACCAAGGTATTTCTTTTAATAGCTAGTACTTACAACACAAGAAAAGTAGCATTTAAATTTTCTGTCTGCAAAGGAAGTTTGGCAAACAAGTGTAATTTTTGTTTTAGTACCTTCTTCGTCCTCCTCTTTCAGACTGGCCTCTCCCCTGACTGCCTCTAGAAGCCCCACAACTTGAACTACCATATGATCCATGAGGAACATAGTACACCCTGTCCAGAGAAGGTGGGAACCCTCGTTCCCGTCTGCTACCACGTGCACGACCAGTTGGATACATGTCACTTCGACTGCTTGAGTAACTGTCCCGATTTCCACCATATCCATCTCGTGTACTGTTACAATCTTCGTAACGATTGTTTCCACTGTAAGTCAGTGGAGGCCCTCGTGCAGATAGTACGCCACGGGAATTCCCTGCAGTTCAATGATCAGAAAGCAAAACTTCAACACTTTTTGGGTATCATTACACCATGATACTGGTTATTAAACAGTTGAGAAAACATGCTTTTATCTGCCTCTAATGACATCAATTAAGCTGAAGTAGGCAGGGGTCTTAAGTTGAAAGTACAAATATTTACTTCCTCTGAAAACAGAGTGAATTTTAATGTTTCATGCAGATCCTATACATAACATTGTCACACTCATTATTTTAAAATGTAAAGATTAAACTTCCCAATGGGAGGAAAGATTAACTTTCATTAATAGCAAACTGTTTGGCTCAATATTCTCAATCTAGTCAAGAGACCATAATAGACAATTTACATTTTGTGAGTAAAATTATATTCACCATGTGGCTGGTTTAGCTGAATCTATACTACACAAATCAAAATTGGACACTTACCATAATTGTCAAATGCATCTCTATAAAAGCCTCTACTTGGATGCTCAGAATAATCTCTATTGCGACCATAGCCACCACGGTCACTAGATTTAGGAAAGATTTAATTAATTTAAAAATTACCAATTTCAGTAACATAATTGATAAGCACAGAATTTTCAAGGTACCTATATCCTCTAGAGAAATGTTCATCCCGAGGACTAGAATGGCCATAATCATGGTACACAACGTCTCTAGTTGGAGGACCATAATCCTTGCCTTCTTGGGAACCTGGATAATCTCTGTAACTTAAAAGCAGTGGGTTTTAAAATATTAATTTCTAAAGTACAAAACACAAAAACACTATCTCTTAAACACACAAAAAATCAGCGAAGTTATTGAACAGTATTCCTTCAAATACTACATACAAATGGGCTAAAAGTACATGACACAACTCCGTAATTCATTAGGAAAATGAAAATGATGACCAAATAAAGACATGTTTCCTATCTACTACAAAGTCTAAAAAAAAAAAAAATTGAAAAAGGGGCCAGCTCTGCGGCACAGTGAGTTGTTCCTCTGCCAGTGGCACCGGCATCCCATATAGGTGCCAGTTCTAGTCCCTGCTGCCCCTCTTCCAATCCAGCTCTCTGACATGGCCTGGGATAGCAGTAGAGGATGGTCCAAGTCCTTGGGCCCCTGCACCTGCACAGGAGACCGGCAGGAAACACCTGGCTCCTGGCTTCGGATCAGCCCAGCTCTGGCCACTGCAGCCATCTGGGGAGTGAACCAACAGAAGGAAGACCTTTCTCTTTCTATCTCTCCCTCTCACTGTCTGTAATGCTATCTTTCAAATAAATAAATAAAATCTTTTTAAAAATGGAAAAAAGAGAGGATATAAACACACTGGGATCCTAGAGTATTGGTAATATAAAATAAACTGGTGCAACTGCTATGTTGTAATTTAATGACTCATCAAAAAATTAAACCTAATTATTACTTCCCTCAATAATTGCAGTTATTTATGTATATATCCAAAGTAACTGGAAACAGATACTCAAATATGATTTGAATGATCCTAGGAATATTATGTTAGAAAAGAACTTAAATAGGGTGAGGCTGTGGCACAGAAGGTAAGACCACCGCCTGCAGTGCTGGCATCCCATATGTTAGCACTGCTTTGAGTCCTGGCTGCTCCACTTCTGATCCAGCTCTCTGCTATAGCCTGGCAAAGCAGTAGAAGATGATCCACTTTCTTGGGCCCCTGCATCCAAGAGGGAGACTCAGAATAAGCTTTTGTTCCTGGCTGTGGACCAGCTCAGCTCCGGCTGTTCCAGACATTTGGGGATTGAAACAGTGAATGAGAGATCTCTGTTTCTACTTGTCTGTAACTCTTTCAAATAAATAAAAGAAATAAAATAACATAAGTACCAAATACATGCTATAATGTCAGCGAATCTTAAAAACATGCTAAGGAAAAGGAGACACAAAAGATCACATGAACTATCCTCTATAGATCATACAGATAAAATAAACATGCTATTTGTCAGGGGTTGAGAGGGGGGGAACTTTGGGATGTAATGTTTAATTGGTAAAGATTTTCTCTGGTGTAAGGCAATATTTTGAGGTCTAAATGGAAGTGGCTCTTACATAATACCAAACTGTTAATTTTAAAATTAAAAACTGATTTCCTTTACCTATCTTTTGCAGCATAACCACCACCTCTTGGTGACACATAGTAATCTCTCCGGGAAGACACTGGCTTTCTACGCGGTAGATCTCCATAATTCTCTCTCCCGCGTGATTCAGGACCTTTAGTTTCAACATCATAACATTAAGTACCTCAAAGAACATTTTTTCCTCTTTACAGAAGTCAAAAATTATTCCAAGACTCCATCAATGCTTTTCTGTTTACCGCTTAAACGTTATTCACATTTTTTTCTTGTTATGTTCCCTCTCTACACAGAAAGTTTAAAATAATGTTACCTTATGTAGACAAAACCTCAAAATAAGATTACTTACACATTTTCCTTCATTGAATGTCTCCTTCTGTTCCTTTTGCACTTGACTATCCTTCCCTTGCATGTGTCATCATTTCAGTTATCTATCCCTTCTCATCACATCAAATTATTCTTAAAAACTTGTCTTCACTCTTACTGCTTTAATTGTTCATCATACTGGTCCATTATTCCTGTTCTTTTTACTATTCAAATTTCAAACACAAAATTAAACCAAGTAATTACAATTTAGTGTAAAGACTAGTTGAAACAAATCTGTCACTATCCTTTCAACCTGTTTTCTTTTTTTAAAAAGCCTCAGTATACTCCAGTCTTCTTGCTGTTTAACTCATTTGTTTTTACATACCAGCATTGGCAACTTAGTGCAACAAAACCTTTTTGTAAATACAGATGCTTCTCATAATTTAGTTCTAAGTCAAAATCCTCCTTAAGTTAAATATGAATTTAATATATTATATCTCCTGAACATCGCAGCCAGTTACTAACACAACATACTTCTACAGAAATATAAGATCACAGGGGTTACTGGGAACTGCAGCTTACTTTCACTACCCCGTATCAGAGGAGAGTAAAAGATCACCTATCACCAGCCAGGAAAATAGCAAAATTCAAAATTTGAAGTACATAGTTCTTTCACATTATGGTAGAGTGGAAAAATCTGAATTCAGGCTACTGTAAACTTTGGAACTATTTCTTATTTTGTTTTACATAACTGCCTCATTTTCAAAAATTTCACTTTTTTCTGTAGCCACCTCAGTTTTTAAAGGACCTAAGTTATCCTTAACATACTTCTTTCTTTTTCCTTTAGAGTCTTTCAAAATAAAGTTCTGTTATCAATTAATCCTCTTTCCCATTCATTCTCCTAACAAGACTTTGTTATATTTTATGTTTTATACTATATATTCTCTTTGCCTTTGCATATTTTTAAAAGATTTATTTGTCATTTGAAAGAGTTACACAGAGAGAAAAGGAGAGTCAGAGAGAGAGAGAGAGAGAGAGAGAGAGAGAGAGAGAGAGAAAGGTCTTCCATCTGCTGGTTCATTTCCCAACTGGCTGCAATGGCCAAAGCCGCGCTGATGCGAAGCCAGGAGCCGGGAGCTTCTTCCAGGTCTCCCATGTGGGTGCAGGGGCCCAAGGACTTGGGCCATCCTCTACTGCTTTCCCAGGCCATAGCAGAGAGCTGGATTGGAAGTGGAGCAGGCCGGGTCTCGAACCAGCACCACATGAGATGCCAGCACTGCCGGCAGCGGCTTTACCCGCTACGCTACAGTGCCAGCCCCTGCCTTTGCATATTTCTAATGTCTCCCCCTGCCCTGCCCTACCCTGAATGGCTAAAAGTATGTAACTCAGGAAAATTTCTCATAGTTGTATGTATCTTAATATGCCTTCAGGACCAATGATTCTCATAAACAAGCAGCAAATGAAACACCAATTTTAGTGCTTAAAAACTTCTTTAGAAAAGACTTTCTGGGGGCCAACGTTGTCTCACAGCACATTTATCTACCACCTGCAAAGTCTGGTTCCCATGTCAGAAAACCAGCTCAATTCCTGGCTACTCTGTTTTTTAATCAGTTTCTTGCTAACGTATCTAGAGAGAAAGCAGAGGATGGCCCGTATTTAGCACCTTGTCACCTATTGTGAGAGATCAGGATGGAGTTTCCTGTTCCTGAATTCTTTCTGGCCCAGCCCTTACTGTTGCAGCCCTTTGGGAAATGAACCACCAGATGGTAATTTGCTACTCTGCCTTTCCAATAAATATATTAAAATCCAGGGCCGGTGCTATAGATCAGTATGTTAATCCTCCGCCTGCAGTGCTGGCAAGCCATATGGACACCAGTTCTAGTCCCGGCTGCTTCTCTCCCAATCTAGTTCTCTGCTATGGCCTGGGAAAGCAGGAGAAGATGGCCCAATTCCTTTGGGCCCTGCACCTGCATGGGAGAAGACCTGGAAGAAGCTCCTGCTCCTGGCTTCGGATCAGTGCAGCTCCGGCCATTTCAGCCATTTGGGGAGCGAACCAACGGAAGGAAGACCTTTCTCTCTGTCTTTCCCTCTCACTGCCTGTAACTCTACCTCTCCAATAAGTAAATAAAATCTTTAAAAAACATTTTTGCATCTTCATTTATTCCTTTACATATGAAATATATTTTAAATGCTTGTTTTTAAATTAAAAATAAACAATTTTGAAGCAAAGAACAAACTCTCATCCCCCTCTCCAAATGCCCCACAAAAGCCACAGAGGAAGTTGAAAGAGAGATCTGAATCCAGGTTCCCTACTGTTTGGCAGGAACTCCATTACTTATCAGTCAGCACTACCTTCTGCAGTCTGCATTAACAGGAGGGTGGGACCTGAACTGAAAAATGAACTTAAGTAGTACAATGTGGGACACTATCTTCATTTGCATCTTAACTGTTAGGGTAAATAAGAGCTCCCTACTAATGAATATTAATGACAAAAATGTAAACATTCAAACTATTTACTTCATAGAGTTCATTTTTTATTTTTTATTTCTTAGCTAAGAAAGCCATCTTGCTATTCAATCCATCTTACATACACAAACTCTGCTACCTTTTAACTGAAAAATTATTACAAGCTAAATTTTTTATTTCCTAAATTATTACCAAGTGGCTAGTTTTATTTTACTGCTAATGAACTAGCTTACCCTTGCATATTAGTAATGTAATGGAATATTCATTTGGGGAAAACTGTACCTTTTAAAGCAAGCAATTTTCTCAAATCTTGTCTTGTGTTAATTCTTATTCCTCAATTCCTAGAGATCAGCGTTTCATGTTTTAAGCACTCACTGGCTAATCCTCTAATGGAAATAGGTTTGCTCCGTATGTATTCTGAAGATGCAGATATCTGTATTCACTGATAACTGTATTCAAGGTAAACTGGATAATGGCAGCATCAAGAACCCACTGTACCAAAGTTTAAAAACAGAACTAGAGATTATACTTCTCTCTTTACATGAAGTAAGATATTATGTTGTTAAGCCTCTTTACTAATAAATGTTCTTACTTCTGCTTTGTAATCCAGGACCTTATTTTAAATCTCCTCCTAAACGTTATCTGTTTTATTTGTTCTCACACCTTTTTTGTGTGCTTTCCTGCTTTTAGTTCACTTCAAATCTCTTCATTAGTCCACCAGTGACAATTACATTAAATTCAATCTTTCCGGCTGGCGCCGCGGCTCACTAGGCTAATCCTCCACCTTGCGGCGCCGGCACACCGGGTTCTAGTCCCGGTCGGGGCGCCGGATTCTGTCCCGGTAGCCCCTCTTCCAGACCAGCTCTCTGCTGTGGCCAGGAGTGCAGTGGAGGATGGCCCAAGTGCTTGGGCCCTTCACCCCATGGGAGACCAGGATAAGTACCTGGCTCCTGCCATCGGATCAGCGCGGTGCGCCGGCCGCAGCGCGCAAGCCGCGGCGGCCATTGGAGGGTGAACCAACGGCAAAGGAAGACCTTTCTCTCTGTCTCTCTCTCTCACTGTCCACTCTGCCTGTCCAAAAAAAAAAAAAAAAAGTTCAATCTTTCCTGCACTATTAGATCTTCCATACTTTCACAACTATGCAAGTGACATGAACTGACTCCTTCCTTAACTATTATGTAAATGTTACATAAAATGTCTTCTATTGATTTCTCTGTATTTCCTTGCCATAAGAAATAAATTATCGTTCATGTTTTTCTGTGTTTATTACTAGCCTCACAATCAAAAAGGATGCCTTGAACAGAAATAGTTCTGTGATCTTAGCACTAACAATGTTATGATTGCCAAGTTTCAGTTATTTTATAATTACTTTAAGAACATAAAACCAGCTGTTAAAATATACAACCCAAAGTTAAACATGTGAGACAATTCTCACAGGACATAATTTTCAAGAGAATCTTGAGGAAAAGCAGCCTTACAATCAAAGAATGTTGGAGGGGACTTTTAATAAAATGTAATAGATTCTGTAATGAATTAATGAAGGAATGGTTTTACTACTATGGTCATTAATTACCTATTACATCTATTATGGGTAACTGAATTTATCTCTTCATCCTGAATTTCCAAATTCCAAATTGCAATTCCAATTCCAAATTCCAAATAATAAGATGCAGAAATACATAGGCAAGTAGATAGGCAGATTTACTATTTCTATGTTGCTTCTTAGGTTTAAACATTAATCCAATTTAACTCATTTTCATTCATAAGAAAACAACTTTAGTTCTAAGGAAAGAAAACTTGTTGTTGCATAATATTTACCTCGTCCTCTCACTGCACTATTGCTTCTTGCTGGAACAGAAGGAGCAGATCTTTTAGGAGGAGGACCTCCACTTCTTGAAGATGGACCTCTTTTAACTGCAAAGGGTCCCCTAGAAGAACTCATGTTGACATTATAAGTGTAGCCTCCATCATCTGCATTTAAGCAAAAAAATCTTTTTTATTAAGCAATATCAACATTCTAATGGCCAAATTTGTTGCTTAAAAATGCCTACTAAATAGTATCATAGTCTTGAGAAGTATTCAACTGTCAAAATTTAGTATTTATAGGATAAATTCTGCTTATGGTGGATTAGCTTGAAAATTCTAGAAAAAAAAGTTCAAGTAGCATTTTATACTGGTGTGGAAAAGATTGGGAGAGAATAAGAGAGTGAAAGAAGAGGGCAAAGTCTTACAAACAAAATCCAGTTAAAGTGAAGGTTTTTTGGTATATTAGAAGAAAATAATTGATCTTTTGCCTGGTATAAAGGAAGTGTTTTCAAAATAGATCAGCATATAAACCAAAACATCCAAACAGAAACCCAGGTCATTCACAAAATCAAAAGATGATGTGTCAGAAAAAAATGCGGCTTTTACACTAATATAACATTATACAATTCTTACAGTTAATTTATGAAACACTCCTACAATCAATCAATTTGGACTTTGCTAAGTTTTAAAGAAATGAACATTAAAATGTAAAAACTTTATCTAACTGGAATCACTCTTAAATATTTCTAATTCCCTGCTATTATCAAATAAATAAATGTATAGTCTCCTGTAAGGTGGTAAAGTTGATTTTCAAGATCAATTTACTTAGAGAAAAAAAAAATCCCAAACTATGGAACTGAAATTTCACATGAAACATCTTCAGTCTTTCATACATCTGATTATAAATATTGGTGGGTTTTTTTTTTGGTTTATAATGAATATATTCCTTTTGAGTGTAAAACAACATTTTTTAAATGTAAGGTATACAAACCATGCATTTCATACACACAAATATAGGAACATAATGACTGTTTGCAAACCTAACTGCTCTCACACCCATACTCCTGCTCTTCTTCCTCCTCCTTCTCCTAGTCCCATTATTTTTTGCTAAGATCTATTTTCAATAACTTTATTCACAGAAGATTAACAATAGTATGAAAAAAACTGTTCCTTAACAGTGAAGACAAGAGCTAGTGAAAGTCATTGCAACTGAGAGTGTCAATTTCACCTCTATATATTACTTTCAGGTATTCTATTGTTACCACAGATCAGGAAAAACATAAGGTACTTATCTTTTTGGGACTGGCTTATTTTACTAAGTATAATGGTTTCCAGTTCTATCCATTTGTTGCAAACAACAGGATTTCATTTTTATTGTTGCCACTGTGTAGTAGCCTACAGTGTACATATAGCATTAATTCTTTTTCCAGTCTTCAGCTGACAGACATCTGGCTTGATGCCATATCTTAGCTACTGTGAACTGACCTGCATTGAACATTCTCCAAACTGTCTTCCACTGTGGCTGTACAGTTTTATATTCCCAGCAGTAGTGGATTAGGGCAACTTTTTTCCCCCCACATCCTTAATCAACATTTGTTATTTGTTGATTTTTGAATGAAAGCCTTTGTAACGGGTGAGTTGAAGCACCATTGTGGTTTTGATTTGCATTTTGCTAATGGCCACTGATCCTGAGCACTTTTTCTTCTGTGTGTTGGCTATTTGGATTTCTTCTTTCTTTCAAGATTTATTTATTTGAAAGGCAGAGTTACAGAGAAGCACAGGCATAGAGACACAGAGACCTCCCAGCTGCTGGTTCACCCCCTAAATGGCCCCAATAGCCAGAGCTTTGGCAATCCAAAGTCAGGATCCAGGTGATTCCACTGGGTCTCCTAAGGCGGCCCAAGGATTTGGACCAACCATCTTCTACTGCTATCCCAGGCCATAGCAGAGAGCTGGATCAGAAGTGGGTCTTGAACCGGCACCCATATAGGATTCCAGCACTGCAGGATGCTTCTTTACCTGTTACACACAGTGCTGGCCCCTGGATTTTCCCTATTGAGAAGTGTACATTCAAGTTCTTTGCCCATTTCTTAACTAGACTGTTTTACTGTTGTACAGTTTATTGATTTCTCTATATATTCTGGATATTAATCCTTTATCAGCTGCATAGTTTGTAAATATCTTCTCCCATTCTGTCAGTTGCCTCTTCACTTTGCTGGATGTTTCTTTTGCAGTGCAGAAGCTTCTCAACTTGAGCAATTCCATTTATCAATTTGTCTTTGTATTTCTGTGCTTCTGGGGTCATTCCCAAGAAAACTTCACCCATCCCAGGGTCTTTCAGGGTTTCCCCAAGGTTATCTAATAATTTCACAGTACTATGTCATAGATTTAGGTCTTTGAACCATTTTGAGTGTATTTTTGTGTAAGGTGGAAGGTAGGGGTCTTACTTCATACTTCAGCAGGTGGAGATCCAGTTTTTCCAACATCAATTGTGTGAGACATTGTTCTCACTCCAGGGATAGATTTAGCTCCTCTGTCAAAGATAAGTTGGTTGTAGATGTGTGAATTGATTTCTGGAGTTTCTATTCTATTCAATTGTTTTATTCATCTGTTTTTATGCCAGTACTAGGCTGTTGTGATTATAAATGCTCTTTATTATGTTTTGAATCTGGGAATGTGATGCCTCCAGCTTGTTTTTTGAGATTTCTTGTGTTTCCAAATGAATTCAGCATCGTATTTTTCTGTATCTGAAAAGAATGCCCTTGGTATCTTGACTGGGATTATGAGAGTCCTAAATCCACACAGGTCCAAGATATCTCCCATACTCTTTCCTGGCATCAAGAAAATAAAAACATTGGTGCCACACTCCTAGAGAGCTTCACCATTCTCATAATCTGTCCTAGCTACAAATCAGGCCTGAGAGACTTTCTGAGCTTCACCATTCCCGCAACTGCTCCCAGTTACAAGTCAGAGATCCTGTGCTTCCAGGTCCCTATTACTGCCACAGCTATAAATGAGGCAGCCCTGATGACTCCTTGTGTCAGGAACACCATCTCACGGTATCTAGTATCCTCTCCAGATGCTCCAGCCCGAATCCCACCTTGTTTTGTTTGGCCACTTCAACTCTCCTCCCACCTAACTCTGAACTCCCTTGACACAAGTTCCCTATAAAACTCCAGCTCTACACATGCACTCTGAGCTCCTCTCCCTCTGATGCTGCTCCTGGAAGTTCTTTGCCCTAATGGAACTTATTGAGGCTCAGCGTGGTCTTGGTTGTCGTTCTTGGTCATGGCTGAAAACACTAACAGGGACACACTGAATCTGTAAATGGCTTTTGGTAGTATGGATATTTTAATGATGTTCATTCTTCCAATCCATGAACATGGTAGTTTCCATTTTTTGTGTCTTTTTCTATTTATTTCTTAATATTTGTATTTTTCATTGTAGATATCTTTGATGTCCTTGTTTAAACTTATTCCAAGGTGTTTAATTTATTGTGAATCCATGTGAATGGTTTTGATCTGAGAAGTTCTTTCTCAGCCATGGCATTATCTGTGTACACAAAGGCTATTTCATTGTATGTCCTGCTACTTTACCAATAGTTTTTTGCCTTTCAATAGTCTCTTAGTGCAGTCTTTTGAATTCCTTATTTATTGAATCATGTCTGTAAATAAGGATAATTTGACTTCCTCATTCCCAATTTGTATCTCTTTCATGTATTTTTCCTTCCTAAAGTTCTGGCTAAAACTTCTAGGCCTATATTGAACAGCAACAGAGAGAGTGGGTGCCCTTGTCTGGTTCCAGATCTCAGTGTTTGCTTCCAACTTTTCCCCATTCAATAAAATCGCTGGCCCAGGGTTTGTCATAAATGCCTTGCTTGTGTTGAGGAGTGTTCCCTCTATAACAACTTGCTTAAGGTGCTTTCTCGACATCTACTGAGATTTTTTTTTTTGTTCTAAGTTTGTTAATGTGTTGTATCATGTTGATTGATTTGTGAATGTGGAACCATCCATGCATTCTGGGGATAAATCCCACTTGGTCTGTGTGAATGGTATTTATGATGTGTTGCTGGATTCAACTGGCTATTATTTTGTTGAGGATTTTTGCATATGTGTTCATCAGGGAAACTGGTATGTAGTTCTCTTTATCTTCTGCAGGTACTGGAATTAAATGATGTAGGCTGAATGTTTGGGAAGATTCGCTCCCTTTCAATTGTTTTGTATAGCTTGAAAAGAATTCTAGTTAGTTCCACTTTAAATGTTTGGTGGAATTCAGCAGTGAAGCCAACCTATTCTGAGCTTTTCTTTGTGGGAGGGTATTTATTATTGATTGGATTTTTGTCTTGGTTACTGGTCTGTTTAGGTTTTGTGTATCTTCATGAATCAATTTTGTTAGGTTGTGCATGTCCAGGAATCTATCCATTTCTTCTAGTGGCAAGGCCAAGGCACTTTCAGCTAGCTGACAAGGTCACAGCAGAAGGTCTGTCTCAGCAAGGCATGAGAACAACAGCTAAGGTCCTCTTGGTGGTTTTAGGTTTGTTGGGAATTGCACTCTGTATAAGAAGCTAGAACTTCCTGGTGGTCCTGCTAATGATAGCTGTATTTCTAATGTTAGGGAGAGCGCTTGGTCTCGTAATCCCCAAAATGTCCATTGCTTTGTAAAATTTTAATCAAGAAGAATGTTGGTATAGGAGAAGGGGTTGATGCTTTATGCAAAGTTGAGTTGTTTGTGGAAAAGAATTAAAAGGCAATAGGCTCCTGGTGTATACTTCCCACTAAAATAAAGGTAAATGTTATTAAAGCTTTATTCAATACGTGCTACAAATACCAGTATGGTTAGGATGTCAAAACTGAGGAATAGATCTAAGTGAACCCTTTAGAAAGCACAATAAATAAAGAGTTACGGAAAGAACTGCAAAAGAAGGGATACATTTTAAAAAGGGCCTGCTTTGAACACTAGTACTTCAGTAAAGATTAGATTAGGAAGGTAATATTCTAGCTGTGTAGCCAATTTCTGCATAACTTGACAGCACTCGAGGCCTTGGCTCATATGCGCAGCCCATTATCTTGCATCTGTCTGATAGTAACCCATGCTCTGAATATGCCCTTGAAATCAAAGAAATTGTTACTACATGAGAATGGGTAACAGACTTGTTACTGTAAGGAAAATCATTATGTGACTTATGATATAAAAATAAAGCCTGGTGCTCAAGCGCCAGAGCCATGCCATCAGCCTTGCTGTCCATTTGTCTCTCATTTCTTCCTGTGCTGACCCTATCACACCTTTGGGAACCCCTGGACTGGCTGGTGCAGGACTCCAACTTTCTAGGTTTCCCAATTTGTTGGCATGAAGCTCTTTGTAGTGATTC